TTCTGCGAATTCATATTTCGGGAGTCGTGTCTCTCTACATAGGCGTTGTTGTACCTCTTTATCTGTACTCATAAAGCTGAAGAGTTTGTTTGTTTAAACGCACTAATTTCAGGAACTGTCGGATAGACCGTTTATCGAAGGCTTTAAGCTATTTACCGTAATTTTGCGACCATTAGAAGCGAAGCAATAGTGGAAAATTATTTATCATCGAAGGCTTTCGTTGCTTGCGAAAACAGTTCAAGAAACCAAAAAATATGTTTGAGAGTATGATTCTCCTTTAATTGACCTAATAAAGGTCTACGATAGTATTTAAGATTAATTAATTAAGATTCTAAAGTAACCAAGTTTAGTCGAAATTGCATTATCACCAATTATATGCCAGAGTTGGATCAACATTATAATATAAATCTAGCACACACCAAACAACCGGATAAGCTTATATGTAAACTAGCTGTGCCAGCGACGTCGTCCGTGTAGACTAATTATTTTGCAAACCTATTCATCTTTATAAATTCAAACTGCTATCCGACATCGACATCGGGCGCGTCCCGTCGCTCACTACCCGTCGTTATTGCAAGTTAATCAATAGACCGATTTTTCAGATCATGTAAAGAGGAATCACTCTTTCATTCATATTTTTCGGGTACCTTGAACGGTTTTTGCAGCATGCGCCTCGGAAAACCACACTGGTGAATAATTTTCCCAATTTTTTTCACATTTCTCGCTGTATCTTCGCTTGTATTAGTCACAAGGCAGGGCAATGTTTTATAGCCTATAGCTTTCCTCGATAAATGTTCTAACTAACACAAAAATATTTTTTCAATACGAACCTGTAGTTCCTGAGATTAGTGCGTTCAAACAAACAAACAAACTCTTCAGCCTTATACATTAGTATAGATGTAAATAGACCATTAGATGTGAAATGGGCTTCTAATAACATTTGGCTTTGAGCGTTGGGAAATCTTCAAGATTACGTGGGGCCCTATAGAATTAGAACCTTGTTGAAAGCGATATATTGATATCACCATGTCCCTTGATGTACAGCCTTTGCCATAGCTTGTATATAACGCCACCGATAACATAAGTTTCTGGGAAACGTTTGCATTATGCAATGCAGTACGGCTAACATAAAAGCGTAGTATTAGCTATGCTAAGCGTAATTTATACACACCTATGATCAGGATTGTTGCTTGTTATCACGTTCTTAGAATCGTTAGAATTATTTTTTAGATAATCTCTGCTATGCAAAAATGTTCAAGGCCTATTTATTTTTAAATGCAAGTACAAAGGAACTGTCCAATGACCAATGTCCCAAAAAAGATTTGCGAATAGGTAAACTTCAACACGCAATAATGTCTTGGGGGGGGGGGGGGGGGGGGGGGGGGGGGGGGGGGTTCCATCATATGGAAGGAGTGACTGTATAAAAAAAAACTTAAGGAAGTATTTCGTAAGTGAATATGTCTATGTTATGTCTTTTATAAATTGTTCGTTTTTATAGGCACATTGGCCTTTTATATCCTGTTAGAGTGAAACATTGAAAAGCCTAGATTGAAACTCAGACCTCTCGGTCTAAACGAAACGAAACCATGATCAAACAGCGCATGTATATGCCCGCGAAACCTTCTTTCAAGTTATTTGTAAATTTTTAATGGCGTGGCAACCATTTTACGATCGCTTTCTGAGTAAAGGTCATCATGAAATGGCTTTGAGAAGGACGGAGCGAGGGCAGCACTTCAATAAAATTGATGTGGAACAGGTTAATTCCGAAAATAGACAGCCTACAAGAATGGAAGGATATTTTTTGGATTATAAATGTAAGGTTATATTAGTGTTTCTTTTTTTAATAAAACACTTAATATAGGTAATATAAAATAGCGCGAAATGTATTAGGTTACTTCTTTACATGTGATGTTTGCAGGAGCGATGATCACGGCGTTTTGAAGCGAGTTTTATTTAAATGTCTACTACTCGCGTAACTTCACATAACAAACTTTCAGGAAAACGTTCGTCTTTATGGCAATGAATTTTAGTATATTAATAATTGCACGAGTAGGATTGTTGTTATTTTTTAAAATTGTATTGGAAAACTAGATCTTTTATTTCGGAATGAGTATAATCTTAAATACTGTCTATAGTTTACGCGAGTAGTACACATTTAAATAAAACACTTTAACGGTTTAAAACGGGATATATTAGTTAAACGTAAAATGATTTTTAACTTCGTCTCTCCGTGACCACGGCTGCTGCAAAGCATCCGAAACGTCGGGCCGAAGTTAAATGAGTATAATCTTAACATTTTTTATAGAGTATAATATACACTTACGATTAAAAGAATATTATGAAGATGGAGTACTTAGAATGGCATATGCTAGACAAAAATGGAACCCTAAATATAAAAATCGAGTTCTAGTTTCCAAAACAATCAAATATTGTCAAGTACTGGGAACATCAGAGGCCACTTTACGTAAAACCATTATCACTTTGTTTATCCTGCAAGGGAGACAATAGTGTTTTTTACGTGAAGCCAAATAGCGAACGGCCATTGTTAGCGTGTATTGTCCTATTATTATTTTCGTAGAACGAATTATCTGAACAATTGTATAAAACAGTTTCGGCGAATTTATAGAGGATAAAAGTTTACCTATGTCTTGGTTCGCAACATTAGCCTCTAATTTACATTTGAACTTGCGACTAAATTTTCTCGTCTCAAAACTGAGATTGGGTACTTATTGAGTTATTCAAATGAAGTTTGACTCAAACTCTATTAACACATAATATGGTTTATTACAGACTAAAAGAACAATATAATGCCATAATAACTCTTTTAAACGAATTTACGAGTTACGACTGGCAAAACATTATTCCACGAACGTGTAGATTACATTGGATTTCTCTAGCCCTACGTATATTGTTAAAAGTGCTTCACTGCTATCTAGTACATGTTAACAAAAGCACGTAAAAGATAAATACTTATTTTCTATTGAACGATTTCGTAGAAAATACTCTTAAGTAGATACGCAGACAGTTGGGCGAAGTATTGTGTTAAGAAGAAATGACATCTATTTTGAGACATACATAATATGTTGTATATTAAAATTTATTTTATAAATGAGTCACTGGTATCGTACTGATTTGCTTCGATAACATTCCAGGGAATGTAAAAAATTTAACAACCAGTTTCGCTACATTTTCATCATTACATCGTATACAATTCGCTATCGCTGTCTGTCCGCCTCTATGTACTTATATTATAGCCTTAGTAACAACGCAACGAATTCTGAAGCTGATTTAGAGAAATACTCATAATAAGTTTTAATGTAATGTCGTAAATTGTGACATTTGCGCTTAGATTAGGTACTAACGCTGGCTGAATCCACGAAATTAACCGAAATAATGTGCAGTATCGTACACCTTAAAAATAATAAAAAAGGTCTATCTCGTAAGGATATCTCACAATATCCTTCTTATTTCAATATTTATAGAAAAAAGTATAATTACCTATATTCCACCCTTGCGAAGCAGAGGCGAATCGCTAGTATGTTATAATGTTATATATAGGATGAAATATTATCGATAACCCTTATCTATTATCTGTCCTACAATAGACCTTGGCATTAAATGATATTTGCTTTAGCCACAACTAGGTCATATCAAATTGAATGAGTCGGGTAACTGTTCCGGGTTTATGGGTAGAGTAATTGCGATTAGTAACTGTTGATTGACAATATACATTAACTCCAATTACAGAGACCAAAATAAATGTGTTACTCTGTACTAGATAGGCGCAAGTTTTAGTCGATGGTATTAAATAAAATGTTACGTTTTGCAATTAAATCTATAGTAATATATAGTATAAAGCTGAAGAGTTTGTTTGTTTTTGTTTGAACGCGCTAATCAGGAACACCGGGGGAATTTGAAAAAAGAACAGCGAGAAATGTGGAATAAAACGGGGAAAATATTCATCTCTGAGGGTTTCCGATGCGTTCGCTGCGAAACAAAAAAAGATGTAGAAAAGAATGATTTCTCTTTAAATGACCCAAAAAAAATTACCTACACTATATGTCTATCTTTTAAGATTATCTTGCAAGAACGACGGGATGCGTTTGCATAAACAAATTTGGATGCACAAATAACTACCTATATTACGTGGACGAAGTCGGTGACTTAGCTTGTAGTTTATAATTACAATTAATTTTCTACTTGGCATAATGTAATGCATTACGCACACAATATACATGTAAACAAACAACTAACAAATAAGCTTTCAGCTCATTCTTAATTTTACGAATGTGGTCCTTTATCATTACAAAATTAGACCATTACAATTATTCTCGTCTAAAAATAATAATTTCTCTTGAATTAAGTACAAACAGGTGTCATAATTCAAGACACATTGACTATCATAAATTATAAAAGCTTCTCCGAAACAGTGACGACGTGTTTCAAGAAACGAGTAAGTATTAAATGGTATTTAAGTGTATAATAAATGGAGATGACCTGAAGACCTCGGCGATATCAGTTGGCGCCGTTCGTGATGTCAGAATCATACCAATTTATTTCGTTTATTTTCACACAAATGTACGATTTTCATTGCAATGTTTACGCAAAACGATAATTCGATAATTGCATTTAATTCATTGAAAATTGCCACACACACACAATAATATAACTAATTATCTGGTATATTTAAATAATGATAGAAGTAAAGACAACTTTATTTTTATTTTCCTGTCATTCCACCACGAGGGTATGGTGGTAGGCAGTTGATGGTTTGTATACTTAAGTGTAGCTACTAACCTGGTAGTTTGACCACCATTTGAGGTGATAGTAAATGATTGGGATCCAATGTAAAAGCCTTAATGAGCAACGGCACACAGAAAGAAGCACAGGTCCACTTTTAATTATATTCCCTGAAATCCACTTTATGGCTTTCGTTTCTGAGTAAACTCTATGAGCGGTTTCTTAGAAATAGAATGCACTGGAGAAATTAATTTGCAGAAATGGACGCCGCCTCGGCCGCGGTCCGCGCGCGTGCCTTTTCAGAAACCGTTTCTGAGAAAGCACACATTCAATTTCACTTGTCAACTGTATTTATCACGGTTAACTATTTCGCTGCGGAGGTGAAAGTTCGGCGACGTCGATGTAAGTCCTCTCTCGCGAGCGAAACCCGACTGGCGCGCCGCCGTAACGCGTACGCGACGCGCGAAGAACGGGCGCTCGGCCCAGCGCGGCCCATCGCTCGAGATCTACGTCGCCCGATGTGCCCTCGCTTCCAAGAACGACCAACCTTGACGCTTCGTAGAAATAACACAAGGTATTGTCACTAATTTAGTAATTCCACATTAAAGTTATATTCGCGGAGCACGCTATATACTACGACGCTTATCATACTAATTGTATTTGGGCGTTATAGGCATTTTTAGAAACCTTTAATATTTCTCACTGGTACCTGAGGGCACTGTATCAATTAAAAATCGATTATAAATTGAAAAAATTTTACGAGTCGGACAGAATTTGAACCGCCATCCGTGAACCAATTGAGCAACCGAGTCCCACACGTCATCGTCGAATTTTTCCAACCTACATGCAACTCTTGCGCAAGAGAGAAGAGGTTAGTTAGAGTAACAGCACAGTACGCTGTGAATGCCGGTTCAAGTCCTGCCCGAGTCGTTCTTTTTTTATTTATAATCAATTTTTACGTAACAGAAATACTTTATTGCGCCTATCAATCATAAACGGCTCGCCCCCTTGTAACGTGGAAGTAATAAACGGTGAAGTTCATTCACTTCGCGTTCTATTTTATGGTAATGGCCGCGTCTTGTATCATTCAATGGTTCAACTAATACTCGTTACTTGAACTCGACTTTGGAGTTCAAATATGCGATTTTTGCTTACACTTTCCTTATATTTAGTTATGGATAGATACTTTGGAGTACATTTTCCGCCTCTGCGACCTAATGGTTACTAGCCCTGCTTACAGCAAGAAAGATAGCTACTAATATTAAAGTAAGTAATTAGTAAAGCACTCGAAATTGGTCCAAACACGTAGGTTTGCAATAATAATATAATCAATATTAATATATAAAGCTGAAGAGTTTGTTCGTTTGTTTGAACGCGCTGATCTCAGAAACTACCGGTAGAAACTGGATTTTTTTTTTTGGGTTGGTTAAAGCATTTATCGATAAAGGTTTTAGGCTATAATATCGGCTGCAAGTAATAGAAGCGAAGAAACAGCGGGAAATGTTAAGAAAACTGAGAAAATTATTCATCTTTGTGAGTTTGCCTTACTTAAAAATATGTATAAACAATGCTTCCTCTTTAAATGATTTTTAAAAATGTCCGCGACACTATATGTCTAATGTCTATCTTTTAAGCTAAACTTAGAAGAGCGACAGAACGCGACCGACGTCGTGGACAACATCTTAAATCGATAGAGATGAAGATGAGATTTACAAAATAACTATTCTACGCGGACGAAGTCGCTGATGCAGCTACTGTATGTAAATAAATAATTCACTATTAATTTAGTTTGAAGTTACAAATAACTTTGATAACCTTAACAAGAGTTCAAGTCCATTAAATGATAAATAAATTAGAATTCTTTCTCAATACGATCAAAGAGAATATTGTCATTCTTATTAGCAGAAGCGGACAGAGCTTACAAAGGGGTTTTTCCGGTAGCTTAAGCTAGTAATAAAGGAAATTCAACGGATGCTAGCTTATGATTATAAACTAATTTAACAGTAGAAAATAGGTTATTACCACAAATAAAACCTATTATTTATTGTATAGGGAATTGTAAAGACTACTTGGGATATAACGTTAAGTTTTGTAAACCTGGGACGAGACAACCATTGTTACAAAGTTGTTCAAAAATAAATTAATTCTACAAGCAAAATTATTGACGCCACAATATGTTACGCTTTATGCTAATATTATCGGTATATAATTTTACTCGTATTTATCTTTTACAATTTTCTTTGATATAAATCCTCGTTAATAAGGATTCATAATTAAAGCGATAACGTTTTTGATATAAATAACATGACAACAGACACATTAGAGAATCATGTCGTGGAATAGTCTAGGCTATTGAAGCTCAAAGGTACATCAAATAACAGTTAAGGATTATAATGTAATGTATGAAATAAGTTTGTGAACAAAAAAATACAATTTACCCCGGCAAAGAAAGCTCTCACGTAGATAGGAGTGTTTCAAGTGACTAACGTAACGCGTTACGCCAGCCATCTGTAATTTAGCCCTGCTGTCACCCTATTATTTACTTAATCTATAATAATTTAATATAATTTAGTATATATCAAAACTAATTACGAATTTTTAATCGATTCTGTGTTTCATATAGTCAGAGTTTATATGAAGTAAATAAGTAGTTCTAAGAGCAGAATCTAGCAGGAGGTCAAACAGCATCTAAGCAAGTTAGTTACATAAAAGTATACGTGTGTCTCCTGCACAATGCCTTCATGTCAGTACCTACTCTATTATTTGACTCGAATGTACAACACAACAAAGCCGGAACAAGACTCGGGAGCAACAAAGAAAGTACGAATTCTTTTTATCTCGAAAGTTTGTGATGTTCGTAAGGTTGCAAGTCGCGTACGAAATTTCAACAATGGAAGATTTCTCCTCTCCAGGTTAAGTGGTGATAATCGAAGTTCGTCGAAAGGCAACGCGTGTGACATGCGCCAGGTTCTACGAATACATATTTCTTCATGCTTTTGTACAGTCGACGAGAGAAGTTCGTATACCGCGGGATAGGTTATGGATATTGCATAAGTTATAGCAAGTTTACTTAATATATTGTTCTTCTAATAACTGCGAAGCTCAGAGAAATGCGCTGAAACTATAATAATGAACTATACAACAACATCTAATGAAGATATGTGTACTACATCATAGAAGATATACTTTTAATCTAAAATGCTAGGACTTGTACCTAATAAAGAAAATAATAAAATTAACAAAGCATAAACTACTTTTTTTGCGTTTCATGTCAGATACATAAAATAAGCGATTACAATGCGAATATGGAAGGTATTTTGTAATTATTTAATTTACACTTTTGCTAGCAACTGTACACGACAGATGTTCCACATGTGTTTAGTGCTCTGTGTGTGTACTACGCACTCACCCGCCGTCCCATTTTAATCGGAATAATAAATTTGTTCACGTCACTATGACAGAATAACACAAAAGCTTTTGTGATCGATCGCAGCTGTCAATATTATTTACCTGCGGCGAAAGACGCTGAAATGTTTTTACTAAAGTATTGACATAGAACATAATATATAAGAATTAGATATTTTAAAAACTCTTAGAATTACATTCCCGTAAAGAAAAAAGGGAAGTGACATTTTTTTATATATTTGACGGGCTCAATGATGCAATGTATCGCTTATAATCAACGGGTATTGAGTTCGAATCCCACCAGGTCCAACATATTTCTAATCAATTTATAATTTTTCTAAACCATGTTGAACTTCATCTGGTAATTCGAATCTTACATAGGTAGAAATATCGAAATTCCGACCGGGTCACGAACCACCGTCCATATAAGAAAAAGCCTAAAATAATATAGGTTCGTTTCAGTCTGTCGATTTCCGAATATCTTCAGCTCATCTTGTTTAGATTATGGTTGAGGTATTTTACCTTCCATTAAGTGAACTCTTTCCTTCTCTGTCTTCCTTTATCATAAAAAAATAAAACTATGTTGCTTCTGTTGTTTGATCGGTGGTAACTACAGGTAATTCAATAACTTTTCCCTGCCTGAGGACTTCCCGCATCTACGCTTAACTAGGCAATGCATTGAAGCATTAAAACGTGGAGGCAGAAAACAATCATAGTGTAATAAACAAAGTTACTGATCGCGCGAGCACTCAGTTCTCATTGAAAAGCACTTAAAACTGTTTTTAACGGGATGTATTAATTATTCTTTCATTTTGATCTACGACCTATCTACGATCTTTATTTATAGGCCTTCAAATTTTCAAGATGGCGTCTTTTTGAAATAGTCCGTTATGTTAATTACGATGTGGCATATTTCACCTATAATCCCCATAAATAAATACTGCCTGTAGTTTACGCAAGTAGGACACATTTAAATAAAACACTTTAACGGTTTAAAACGCGACATATCAGTTAAACTTATTTGAAAATGATTTTTAACTTCGGCCCGACGTTTCGGACGCTTTGCAGCAGCCGTGGTCACGGGGAGACAAATCATTTTTAAATAAGTTTAACTGATATATCGCGTTTTAAACCGTTAAAGTGTTTTATTTAAACCTAATACTTGTCTGTCTTCCTCTATCGTAAAAAATGTAGATAAAATAATGTAAAATAATGTCTCTAAAAAACGTATGTATAATGTAACCACAAGAACAAAATGCCTTGATTATTTTTTGCGTCTTGAGAAACTTGTTGTTTATAGAAGAGAATTCGCAGGAAACTTTTATAAATACAGCAGCCACTAGCCATAATGGCGCTTCATTACAACAGAAAGGTATGCTAAAGAAGTTTTATGTGTACTGAGAAAAACGCGGTTAAAAAATTCCACTTGCTTGGCGCCATACCAACTATGTTATTTAAATATTGATAACATATTTAAGGAAGAGTTAGAAGGTACTTAGAAAAATATTTTAATATCTGTTACTACTTATTTGACCCCCTCTGTAGCCAAATGGTTAAACGTATTGCCTAGAATTGCGTAAAGCGTGAAAGGTACTGGCTTCGAATCCCAGGGAAACATAAAATTGTTTCGGTCGAGCAGGGCACAGAAGTCTGATCAACTACTTGCCCGTTACAAATAACGGATCAGTGAAACGGACACAGAAATGTGTTCGCCCCATACCCCACGAGGGGGAAACGGGCTTTCACTACTTATTTATTGTTATTACTAATTATAACGTGCAGATAAATCTATAAATTGTATATTTAATACTGTCTGTAGTTTACGCAAGCGCACATTTGTATAAAACATTTGAATACCTTAAAACGCAAAATATAATATTAGTTAACCTTATTTACACATTATTTTAATAACTGTTTCCCGTTGTCACTGACTATGCTTGTAAAGCATCGGAAATATAAGTTTAACTAATATATTTCGCGTTTTAAATCTTTAATGTTTATTTTAACCACATCGGGTTTTATTAAGTACACGTGTACTAATTTGACACTTCTCAATCTAAATAAAGAAATAAAGGAACAAATAAACACGAAAGGCTATGGTGAAAATACGTGAGGTCTAACTATATCTTACGGATTTTCGGTTATAGTTTCTAGTTAGACCAAATTAGTGTCCACAAATTTT